CGGGTGAAAACGGGAAATTATTGTGATTGTTGGCTGTGGATCGGTGATGGCTGCAGGTGTGTTCCCCACAGGTTTGGCTCAAGGAGAAGCTCGCTGAAGCTTTGAAGAGCAGGAGGCCAGATACTGCCGGGAATTTTGCTTTCTTCCAGATAATCAGCGCTTGTCTGATTACAAGTTAAAAACAGAAATGAGCCGCAGAAAGAAAGGTCAAAGTCTAAAGGCGATGGTAGAGCTCGTTCCCATCCCAGTGACGTTTGCAGTGCACTTGCTTTCGGTATCAGTGATGGGATCCTTGCACTACCCAACAAAGCTGTATGATACACAGAAGTTACACGCTGTTGAATATATATGTTATATATGATCAAGCCCTGTAGGGCTTGGACAAGTGAAGTCTCTTGAGTTTATTTCAATGTAGACCTATCTTACTAGTAAGTCACTGTTGTGACTTACTCTTTGAGATGTTTGGGTGAGGGAAACTTAGCTGCAGAGAACTATGGCTTTTTGCCAGAGTGAAAATCCTAGTATTCAAGTGCTGGAAGGGCTGAATTTCTTGGTAGATTATAGTTTTGCCTAATATTTTATGGAGTGTTTAATGGGAAATATTGCCTTAGTCTCAATGCTTACACAAAACCGCTTTTAAGTACAAAATTTGGAATGCAGATGTGCAGCACCTCATTGGTCGGAAATCAAAAAAAAAAAGATACTGGGTTCAGAGGACTTTGCAGCCCCCATATTAATGTTTTCTGTGAAGTCCCTTCACCAACTATGAAAAGACTTACTCCTAAAGAGGATATGGCAGCAGGTTTCAAAATCTTAGATTCTTTGTCTTTTTGTGGAAGTAATTTTCAAATTGCGTAATAACGCACTGCACTTGGTAGCAGCTTTTACTTAAGTGCCTAGAAGGAATAAAACATTGGTGCTAATGTCAAGAGATATTACAAGATTTTTTTGTTGGGGAGTAAGGATCCAGGGCTTAAGAGTTGGCTGCAGAAACATACGATCAACAGTATGTTAGCAGTATGTTACTGCCGTGGTTTTTCTTAATGGATTAAGGATGCTTTGTGACTTTGAGCTTATTTTCCATTAACATTAAAGGAAAACACAGATTCTCCTTAACTTGCGTGCCAAAGGGGATCCTGGTCACAGTGCTCTTCTCCAGTGGTTCCTCAGTTGGGGAAAGATAGGGTATGTAACACATGGTCCATCTTGGGTTTGCTAGCTTGGATCCTGGAACGACAGTAGGACATCGAGTTTTCCTTCCAAAAGTTCCTCCCTTACTATCTCCTCCTAGGTTTGCCTAAACAACATAACTACATAACTTGGAGGGGTTTGCTTCAGTTCCACAAGGAACCATCCCAGTTTGTAAATCTGGCTGGCACCGCCAGAGTGCCTTGTCAAATCAGAACAGTCATTATTTTGGGGGATTTGTCCCAGTGAAATAGTAAAAATCTCTTATAACCATTTATACAAGCCCTATCAACAGCGGACACGGGGGATTTTTAAAGTAGCTACATTCCTATTAGGTAGAAATGAAGCCAAAAAAATGTAGTTAAGTCCTATAAGAGGTAGATCCTGAGACAGTCTCACCCTTTCCATATGTCATCTGGAAACTCTCAGTCCAAATCCTTTCTGAAAGTATTAACTTCTATCAAAGGCACTGAAGCCTTCCTGAACTGAACATGAATTTTGCTTCCTGAAACCTTTCTTTTAGGAAGACCCAAACAACTTCCTAGGAAAAAGCCACATTTTATACTGGGGCATAAACAGCTGAACAAAATCAAAGCTTTAGGTGTGGGTCAAGGTTTCAAACTGCTTTAAACCCGCCCAGGTGCAGACAGCCACGAAAAGGGATGGCATCACCTCTCTCCTTTCTCTTGCCGGTCAGACAAAGATGCAGCTCACGCAGGTAAACCCTAATGATGGCATTACTCGGCTCCGTGGTCTTGATCTGCCTTGGATCAGCTGCAGGAATACTAACGTAGGCATGAGGGAACGGGTGGGAAGGCTTAGCCTGCAATGAGTGGAGGATGGGACAGCACCATGTGATGATTTAATGCAACTTGGGAAACCGGAGCCTCTTTTTAAAAGCAAAATCTGTGGTGTTGTCTTTAGCCGGCAACTTCTCATGCTAGAAGGGAAAATCCAGCCAAGGACAGTAGGCTCTTTCTGCTCTTACAGGAAGTATGTGAGGTTGATTGATATCAACTGAGGAATGATTCTCCCCGAAACTTTTCACTTCTAATCCCTCTGGTAGAATAATTAAAGAATTTTGAAGGAACCAAAGTCATCCCCATCCCTCATAAAAGACAAAACGTACCCTACACGGCTCTTGATTCCTTTTGTGTGGTACTGCGGTTGGCTGCATGGGCCAGCACTTGAACACATCGGTTCCCTTCCTTCTACAGGATCAAAAGTCCTTCTTGTCTTGCACATGCTCCGGGCTTCCCAGACTGGGACTCTGAGCAAAGTTCAGAGTTCCTGTTCAATTCTGAATTCCCCTCGGGGTTTCCTCACCCATCACACTTCAAACAGTCCCAGGCTCCTTCCGTCATGTTCCCTTTTCATCCTGCATGCTAGTGGCTTCAGGCCATCTTTGAAATATATGTTTAAGGAAATCCTGACTCCTGTTTCTTGTATCTTTTGGCTACTTTTATTCTTTTTTTTCCGATGGATTTGCTGTCTGACCAGATCCACATGACTGGCTGAACGTTCAGAATGAGTCAGAAGCGGAGAGATGAGAGTCACGTAAACATGTCTCCATTGACATGCATTACATGACTAGTAGAGATCGGAATTTTTACTGACATACAAATTTCAGGACGAAAGAGGAAGCCTTTCTTTCACTCAGTGCTACAACCAGTACATGCCAGCCAGGACTATATATCCTGACACGGGGCCGTGCAGTCCCAGCCATGGCAGGAATGTCCGTGATTTCCCCTGACAAACCAGAGTCCTACATTTTAGGCTCCCATCTCTCACCTTTGTGATTAATCCAAACTTTAATTTGTGCTGATAGTAAGTGGGCAGCCTAAGCGTTCTGAAATATTTAATTACACAGCTGTAAGTAGTGTTGATTATTCTTCAGGATTATCTTTAATAAAGCACTGGTTTCTGTTAAAACCATGTGTCTCTTTGTGCTTCTCCCCCTGGAATCGCACAGAAACAAAGATTCAGGCTTCTAGCGTCACAACATCATTTGCGGAAAAGTAATTCTTAATGTTTAATAACCCTGAGCTTCCTGTGAGGGCTAAGGAGAAGCTGTGAGTGGCAGCCCGGGAGTAGCCGGCTGGCCTTCAAATGTTAGGAGTTGGAAAAAGATCTGTGAACTTGCTGACTGAATAAAGGAGCCAGGCAGCGGATGGGACAGATTTGCATTTGGCCAGGGATGGTGGTGTCACTGCACGCCCTGCTCATGCTCAGTTGTTGTGCTGTAAATGTAGCAACACAGAGGTTGGAGTCCTTCCCTGACTACTTCTGAGAAAGGCCCCATCAGATAAACACTCTTTTTTACTCCTGACCAGCACATCTGAAGGGAGTAGGAGAGAGCAGCTGCTCTTCTCTCTCTCCACGCTCACTGGCAAGTAGAAAAGATGTTATTTTCCTTTCTTTCTCTCAACCTTGAAAGAGCAAAGAGTAACCGCAAAAAGGGGAACATGATGCACAGGAAGGGTGTATAAGCCCAGCATCAAAAGATTAGCATGAATACATAGAGTATGTCTCAGGGCCGCTCTGGAAGCGTATTTACACAGTTTGGTGGATCCAGCCATCAAAACTGCAGCTGGTTCTGGCAGACTTCCTGCAGTCTGTCCCCCACCTCCCTGCCCAAGGGCTGAGCTGCCAACGATCTGCTCAGCAAAGGTCTCCTCCTTCTCCTCCCTGCAGGCTCCAGCTTTGACTGAGAAGACCCTGTCCTCTTGCCCCGTCTCTGTCTCCGTCCCCAAGTTCCCCATGTCTGCTGTGGAACGACTTGTTCTTCTTCTTATTTTGTCAAAGAATCTCACTGGGTTGCTGAGGTGCCCTCACACCGCCCGGCCAGGCTGTAGTATTCTCATCTCAGGCCTCTCGAGCTGTGGGGTTTCAGTCATGTGCTTTACGTGTTTTTAGGTGCTTGCCCCTCACTGATGGGAAATCAAGACCAAAACGTCTTTGAGCTGCTTTAACTATGTCTCAACTCTTACAGCTACAATGGAATATTACAGAAAAATCGTACAAACCAAACAGGCGTCTTTCAGGGATTCATCACCTAGGTCCTACCTCTCTTTCCTTGGTCACCACGTCAGCAAGTGGGTAAGCGGTCAGAATTCCCCTCATGGTCAAATGACCACAGCTGAGCGTGAGACACTCTTGAACGCGCTGCAGTAGTAGCTGCTGGATTTGTTTCCGCAGTGTTATCTACAGTATCTGCTCAGTACAGCACGGACGTATGAAAGAAATCAAATTCTATATATAGTGAGGTGGTAAAGGTTTAAAATGCAAAATCTCATATCTGAATGCACCGATGAATACAGCTGCTGCGGGGAGCTGTGTGCTAGCGCTTGACAAAAAGCCGGTATTTGTCCACATGCAGAGTCCTTGGCTTGCTGATTAAACTCAGCGTAGGAATAGCTTCCCTCTTGTAAAAATGAGAAAATGTGACTAATTGCTGCTGAGAAAACTGCTATTTTTTCACAAGTAGGCCAAGAGTTGAGTCCGTAAAGCCAGCTGGAATAGGTAAGGAGGAACTGAAAGAATTCTGAGAAACTTCTGCGTTTGACTTTTTCAGTCTTCACTTTTGCTAAATCAGTGGTCTCCATAACATTTCAGTGGTTTTAGCTGAAGAGCTATCTTTGCTGACTGTAAATTTTCCTTTCCATTATTTGTATACGAATATTTTAGAGATGTAAGGTTTCTAATGATCTTGAGGAATAAAATCATACAACACTAAAGATGCTTTTGCATCCGCCTCACCTGCTACTCGCAGGAGACTGATTTTCTGCCCATGCTGCTTCCATTACAACAGAGTGACCATGCACCATGAGTCACCAAAATGTCAGTCGCAATCAGGGAGCTGACACAATGAAAAGCAGTGGTCAAGGGTTAGATTCAAGCACAGAATGAGGAAAGGACAGGTTACAAGGAAATTATATAAATTCATGGTTCTCACATGAACTGTCTTTGGTGTGCTTTATCCTAGGATATTTCAAAACTGTTTGCAGCGGTCTCAGGGCTGTTTGCAATGAGAATTTTGGGGAGATAGAGGACGTGCTAAAAGATTGAAAAGGGGTGAATATAGGTCCCCTTTTTAAAAAATAAAAAAGGAAGGACTTGGAAATTACAAGACAATTAAATTAACTTCAGTTCCTCAAAAACAACAATAAAAACCATGGAATAAGTAATTGGGAAATCATTCATAAGCAGCTAGAAGAAAATACAGAAATGAATAGCAACTACCAAAGATTTGCCAAGGACAAATGGTTTCACTTCAATCTAATTTCCTTCCATGATGGGTAAAAGACCTTGTGGGGAAAGACTCAATAAAACCTCATATGATAAGGCTTTTAACGCTGTCTCATGTGATCGTCTTCTAAATTTGCTGGGGAACACAGCTAGCTGAAGGTACCTGTGGCAGGGTGTAAAACTGGAAGACTGCACTTTACAGCTCTACCTGTAGATGGAAACCAAGCAGGGACAGGGTTATTTATCCCTGCTGCCCGTCAGGAGCAACCCTTGGCCCGGGCTGGCCCAGGAGAGCCAAGGTGGTTCCCTGTGGTTCACGGTCATCTGGGCTTCTGCATGGGTCTCCATGGGCTGGAGTCGGCAATTCCATTCATAACCTGGATGACAGAATGAGGAGTATCTTGGGTAAATCTGGAGGACGCATGAGGATGGGGGCGGGGGGCTGGAACTATATCCAAGGGTAGGAACGGTTTCCCAATGAGCCTGAGAATTTGGAGGAAAGGTCTGAAAACCAGGATTTAGTGCAGTGAGGCCAAGGGCCCAGTGACACACCCCAGCAGGGATAATCGCCAAGCAGCGGACGAGGACCAGCGGGCTGGAAGCGGTTCTGCAGAAACGCGTCTAGAGCAAGAAATGATCACGAGCTGGAAATGAGCCAGCGAAGCTGCGGCGCTGCAGAAGCAGAGAAGCCTGCCCATGCCGTGGGCTGCAGCACCCACCTCTGGGGGAACATGCTGTCCATTTTCAGGGTTTTCAAGAAAGATGGGGCTCAACAGGAGAGAATCAGATCTGGAAAAATGGTGTAGCAGGGAAACTTGAGCTAATGAGTAGTTTTGTTGACAGGGGAGAAACCTGAGGGGAGCTTTGGTAGGTATTTTCAGATACGTGGGCTGATGTCAGAAGTTGAAGAAGATAAATGAAGATGATGAAGGGGAGAATTATTTCGTCTTTGCATCTTCGATGCCTGGTGGATAAGGCAAAAAGCAGCGGGGTTAACTCGTAGCAAGGAAAATTCAAGTTGGACACAAGGCAAAACTTCTGAACAATGAAGCAGTCTGAAGGGCTGCCAGAGGGTTGCTGGAAGGCAGCAAACCTATCATTTTGATATGTCTTTATGCCCACGTCCAGAACTTAATTGTCAGACATCGCAGTGAAGTAAAGTTTGTTTCCAGCTCAAAAAACATAATCATCTGAGGTACCTTCCAAAATCGGTGACATTTTTGGTGCCAACACTAGAAACGGATCTTACTTTTGATATACTGATAGTTGAAGACACACAGAATTTTTAGACTTTTTTCAAAGGAGTTCGGGACACGGAAGGGAGAGGGAGCCAAACTTCCACAGCGCTCTCGCGGCTTTCAGGCTGCCGACGTTGTGCCGAGCCTCAGCCTGTGAACTACATCACCATACAGTAATTTTCCTACCAGACGTTATGGCTTCTAATCCAAACCGTTGAGTTTATATATGTTGCAAATATTTCAAAAACAAAAAAAAAAAAGTGGGGGAGAGGGGAAAGGGTAGGTTTCCTGATTTTTTTTTTTTTCCTGAATCGTTTCCAAACTTAAACTGAACCAAAAAAAAAAAA